GAATTAGAATTAAAGCTGAAAATTACTCTGGGTATCCTCGATTTTCCCTACATTATCTGAAGTGTACTCCAAGATATCCTTGATTTTCTAGTAAGAACTGTTAGGTCTTATATCATCCAAAATATACTTCAAGAGTCCTTAAAATTTGTAGTTATATACTTAAAGGGTTCATTCTATATATTTAACCATTATGATTGAAAGTTCGATAACTTTAACACTCCCTCCGTTTCTTAAAACCCTTCCTCTTTCATTTTTTTTGTTTTTCTTAAAACACTTCCCTTTTCTATTAAAAAACCACTTTTACCCCTATTTTTTCATACCCTACCTATCACATCATACTTTTTCACTAACAACTAAACCATCACATCTTACTTTTACCCATCACATCAAGGGCAAAATTGGAAAGTCAACTACAATTTAACACTTCCTTATTCTTCCCCAAAGTCAAAAGGGGAATTGTTTTGAGAAACGGAGGTAGTATTAAATTTTACATTGATAATCATTATTTCATTAAATTTAAATAAAATTCTTCAAGTTTTCATAGTAAAAGAATTTTTAGTCTAACACCTAACCTGAGAGAATGTACCCTCAGAGTATAATATCACAAATTTTAAACACCCCAAAGTATATTTCGAATAATGTAGGACTAGAGAATTATAAACGAAAAGGTCGAGAGTACCCGAAGTATGTTTCAGATAATGTGAGACCTGAAAGTTATTACGAAAAATTGAGGGTATCCAAAAGTAAATTTTTGAAAATTTAAAATTGCTAATTCTAATTCTGTGACATGAATTCTGTATACCAAACAGACGTTTAGTGTAACTAGTGGTACGGCTTTTAATTTCACTCACACATTTTTCATTTTTTTTATAAAAATCTTTCATTATTTGATATTTTTCTAAAAATTGGACGAAGTCAAAATCGTCTAAATTCATTTAGAGATGAAAGAAGTATGATTGTTGTTGCTCAATGTTTCAATTTTCAAATATATACGGAGTACTTTTTTATTTGTTCTTGAATTGTTGTCTTTACTTCGAATATTATGTAAATTTTAATCTTTTTTAAAAATATTGTATTTACAAATTAAAATACCAATAAAAAGTAATCTATACAAATTACATACTTTAAAACTACGTCATAATTCTATAAAATAAGATTTGATATTAATATTTTATTTTATCAAATGATCAATAAAAAACAAACAAAAATTAATGTAATGTTACTTTTAGAATGGGGAGTATACTTTTTCTATCTTTTTCTCCTGTCCAAGCTTTTTCTAAATCCATTTTGAAAAGAAAAAAAAAGAATGTCATTTCCGAAGCCCCTCTCACACCCGAATCCTTTTTTAAATTTACAAGTAACGACTTTGCATTTCTTTTGAAATTCATTTTTTTAACGCCCATACCTATAAATTTCTTAGAGCATCATCCGTTATTCCGTACAAAAGTTCAAAATGTATTAATCGTATATATCAAGGTCGGTCTATGGACATAATTTTAATAAAGCACTTTGCGGAGTAAATAGTTACATTGGTGACCGTAAAGTCGTTAATTGGAGGCGCAAAAGTGTTTCATTTTTTGTTATTAAAAATCAAATGAGAACAAAAGTGGTAGAGGAGTGCTTTATAATTGTAATGTACCGAAAAGAAAAACACTTTTTTAATTACGAATTGATATCAACCATTTTTTAGAATGAAATACTATTATGGAGGGTGTAATAAATTAAGGGAAGCAATATTAACTTGAGATAAAATACGGAATCATGCATTCATTAGTTTAAGAATAAAAGGACGACGACTTATGAAACAAATAAAACATTAATGCCACTACAACCCACCCCAACATTAGAGATAGATAGATCTGACAAAAAATGATTCGACATGTTTTTGACCCGAGACCCGACCCGAAAATATTGGGTTTTGAACAAATGTTTTGCTGACCGAATCCGAAGTTGACCGAACTCGAAATGACCCGCTAAAAATGAGTCAAACCTGACCGAACCCGACCTGACCGACCCGCTAAACTAAGATTTTTTCAGAATCATACATTTTAATATGAAATATAGTGTTATAAAAATAAGATTATGATTATATTTCTTTGCTTACTAATTTTTTTTTGTATAGATTTATAACATCATAACAAATTTTGCTTATCTTACATTTTTTCAAAATTTTAACATATTGAATTTTTTTTATTCGTAATATTGACACTAAGTCATAAAAATTACTTAAAATTTCAAAAAAATAAGTTAAACTCATAACCCCTTGGGTCAACTCGAACCCGATGATACTGGGTCATGATTATGTAGTTATCAACCCGAATCCAAACTTAACCGAACCCGAAATAACCTAAACCCAAGTTGACCGAACTCGAACCCGACCTGACCGATCAATTTGCCAGGTGTACAGATAGACTAAAAAGCGGCAGAATGAAAATAAGAAAAAAAGGAGTGGATCGGTATTTAAATGGGCCGGCCGCCGGCGTAATGGAGACCCCGGCCGATGATCGGAACGAAGCTACTAGCTAGGAGAACTCTACACCGGCTGGTACTTATCCATTACCTTCTTCGGCCTCAACTGCAACCACAACAGTATTATTATATAGAGATCCAAACCACAAGACGAAGAAGAAGACACACAGAATAGATTAAATGATTATAATAATTACCTCATTGCTGTGACCGCATTTCTTCTTCCTGCCGACCGATGAATAATCGAAAAATATATACCTTCCTTGTCAATGGCGTCGCTGCTCTGGACTTGAAGAGTGATAGTCTTCCCCGTCAAAGTTTTCACAAAGATCTGCATCTTCTTCTTCCTCCTCTTCTCTTCAATAATTCAATTTTATTCTTCTAAATTTTCAGTCCCTCTTAGCGGTATTGGCACTTAATGTATATATAGCACTAAAACTTAAGTCATTTCTCTAAATAACACTTAAATTATTTTATGCTCTAAATAGCATTTAATAATGTCCATAATGACTAAAAGTACTACATTGAAAAGAAAAACGCATGTGGTACTATTTAGGAGGAGTCGTTATTTTTAGTGCTATTTAAGTAAATCTCTCTATAGAAATATAGCTGCTCTTGAATTGAAAAACGCATGTGGTACTATTTAGGAGGAGTCGTTATTTTTAGTGCTATTTAAGTAAATCTCTCTATAGAAATATAGCTGCTCTTGAATTGGCGTGTTGCCCAAGTGTTTTTATTTTCCATTTTCTGGCTCAAATAGGTAGAAATTAAATGAAATAACTAAGGGACAACAAAAATGGAGTAACTAAATCTGTGTACGTACGTGGTGGGCACGTATCCGTGCGGGGTGCAATTGACCAGTCCATCCCAATTTTTTGTGTGCTGGCCACGTAAAGGTAAGATTTTGAAGCACTAAACGGAAGTTATTGCAATCTTTAATATTCATCATTTGCATTTATGATACAAATTTCTTTGTAGTGAAAATAAAGAGCAAATTAATTAAGCTCATGGAGAGATGACAATTATATTTGTTGGTGATTTTAGTGTAATAGACCATTTTATGTAATTAAGATTTACTAAACGAGAATAAAAGTTGTTAACGAGTTCAACGCAATCTGCCATATGTAAAACATTCGAATGTTACACCACTAACATTTGATGTTACCCCAAAATTGGTTATTTCATCAACCAACGCGTCCGTTCGGATTTTTCCTATAAATATGGCATCTTGGTATGTTACGAGAGGTGATCGAGAATTTCATACTCTAAAATAACTTTGATCTGAAAGTGCATTTATGTACGTAATTCGCTAAGTCTATCAAGTCATTCCTCATGTTTTTTGTATACCAATAGGCTGCTTCCCAGCGTTGCTATCCCTCCAATATCCGTTCTATTTGACATTGACTTATTTTAGTTGTATAAATTTACGAATTATAAGAAAATCCTTAAAATTTAAAAGTGTGTACGTAATTAAAAGAAATTAAAAGATTTTAACACTCATTTTAAGATATTCAAATACGGATAAATGTGAATTGATTTATTTGGCTACCAAGGGATAATTTTATGAGGGATAGAAGATTAGAAAAAACTAAACTATAAGTAAAACATTGAAAATATATCAAATAGTAGTTTTATATTTTTATTTATGAAATAAGAGTCAAAGACATTTACACTGACAATCATGATCATATACATTATAAAAAAGTGACATAGAAATATTCATATACATTATACATATACAGTGTAAATTCCGACTTTGGGATTAAATCATTGAACTCTTAGTTTAGTATTTCTCTGTTATCAATGTATTTTACTCCTAGGATGATTTCTTATAAATGATCCACAATAAGAGTTGAATTTTTCCAATTGCCGTAAAATAAATTTTATACTTCTCTCAATTCCTTTTTTGCTCAAATTGTGGTACCATCTGACCACGAATTAAATATATTTTAAAATAATAAAATATTAGGAATTTGATATTTTAAAACTATATTTTAAAATAATTCCAATTTTACAAAAATCACATTATAAGTAGATACACTTTTTTCATAATTTGCGGTCAAAAGGTGCCAGAGATTGAACAAAAAAGTCAAACTGTAACAATATATATATATATATATATATATATATATATATATATATATATATATATATATTATGATGTAACTAACTAAAGCCAACTTTTAAAAAAACGTGGCTTAATATGATTATTCCGCTACGAATGAAGAATTGAATTCAAATTGGAAATGCAAAGAGTGCGAATAGAATATATTGGCCCAAGAAATTCATCTCAAGTTGAAACTTGAAACTATTTAAAGGGACGTACGACATATATATATATATATATATATATATATATATATATATATATATATATATATATATATATATATATATATATATATATATATATATATATATTACACCAATCACCCCCTCACTAATTATTGTAATTAAAAGACGACCGAATTGAACCTAACAAGAGACTCAATGGCTGACATCATCATCATCATCATCATAATTCATAAAAGACCAATCACTCCTTGGAATGCATCTAGGTCAATTGAGTTTGGGCGAGCTTCTTCTTGGGCCTCAACTGCAACAAAACAAGAAAAAATTGTTAGCTTTTTTTGGGCCAAACATGAATTTATATAAATAGGATTTGAAACTCTTTTTTAGATCTTAGAAAAATGACGGGATGAAATAATTAAACCGTATTTTGGTACATACCTCATTGCTGTGACCACATTTCTTCTTCCTACAGTTTGTGGATTTCAGAGGCAGACGAGCATAGCACCTACATATTATTACAAATTGTAAAAATTTTACTTTTTAAAAAAATATGGGCAATAAATTTAAATATCATGAAAATAAAAAAAATTAGTAATTATTACTTGCGACAGATTAACTTGTGCTGCTTGAATTTCTCAGCCAGTGCCTTAAGAGTGGGTTCAATGTTGATCTTCCCGAGCCCCCCTCCTCGGAGTCTCAGCGCCAGATCCAGGCTTGATTCTGCAATTATTAATTGTTTTGGGAAGGTTTCGTAATTAATTCACTAAGAAATGGAGTACTCAGTCATTAAATAAATAAATAAATAAAGACCGGCGGCCGGACCATTGTGGATGTCGTAGCGAGCAAGGGTTGTTCCGTCTTCAAGCTGTTTTCCGGCAAAGATCAGCCGCTGCTCCTCCGGCGGAATCCCTGCACGTTTTCAAACACACATTATTATATAGTATTTCCCAAACAAACAAAAAACCAAAACGGTTTTTTGAACTTATTATAGCTAGAGAGATCTATGCAGAAATTAATAGATAGTAAAAACATACTTTCTTTGAGATGGATCTTGGCCTTGACGTCATCAATGGAGTCCAAGTGGCTCTCCAGATCGACAGTGATCGTCTTCCCCGTCAACGTTTTCACGAAGATCTGCATCTTCTTAATTATAATGAAAGAGCTCCTTTTTTTTCCTTTTTCTTCTCGCAGTATTTTCGTCGGTCCAGTCTACCTTATGTATATATAGAGAGAGAGGAATATATAGGATATGGGTAGTACGTGTTTCGTACGAATTTAAATATGCGTGCTGCCCAAGTGTTTTTTTTTTTCGCTTGCTAAAAAAAATGAAAAACAAAACAGGAAATAATAATACTTGAAATCCAAGTGTACGTGCTGGCCACGTTTACTTGCAACCTCTGCTCAATCTTTTTTGCATCCCTTAGTAATAATAACACACGGATCAATACATACATTCACTTGCTCTACCTCATGCCTTAGTAATAACACAAGAATCACATACTATTCCCTAGAATTATTTTTAATTTAATTTGTTTAAATAGAATTATACTCCGTACCAATTTTAAATAAAATTTACTCGATTTGTCAACTTGATTCTTTATATCTTTGATTTTTCAATACAAAAGAATGTGCATTTGTCGCGAGCATTTCGCCGTGACAATGTTTCTCACGGATTTTGTCAATCTTTGCAAGAGAACATTGCATGGTAAAATAAATTAAGTTTTGTCAAGGCCATAGTCATGACAAATCTTGTGACAAAGAGACGGAATTAGATGTGGTGACAACATTCGTGATGAATACGGATCTAAAAAATAACATTTTTAAATTTCTTTATTTGTCACCGCCGGTACCATGACGAACACTTTGACAAAAGTGTCCACAATTTTTAAATTTTGTTATTTGTTACTGAGTTTCAATAAGACACGCAATTGACTATAATTAGTATGTATTGTCAGCATGTCTTGACGTTGTCCGAGACATATTTTTTTGGGCAACTCTAATTATAACTCTATTACAATATACTACCTGTTTATATACATTCTCAACCTACTAAAGTTATAGAGTTATTGATTGCACTGTGCATCAAACACGTGAGCTCTCATTTGGGAGAGTCATAACGATGTCATTCAACTATAATGCTCTTACATTGAGCTCAGAGACATATGATAAAATGCAAATAATCGAAATTGGCATTACAAACTACGGCGTAGGAACAAAAATGAGTCTCATACTTTTGTCAAAGACTTTATTACACAAATTACCCCTTACTAATTGTAATAAGTAAACATATAAAAATACGTACGTAAGAAGAGACAAATAAAGACCACACGTACTCCATGCATATTCATATGTATACGCATGCAGCTACGGCACTAATACATCATTTCGATCGAACTTCTTCTTGGGTCTCAACTGCAACAACAAAATTTTTTGGTCAAAAATGATTATATTATATAAATATAATTTTTTTGGGAAACTGTAATGGGACACTTGTTGAGTACACATTATGAAAAAAAGTATTTAGTTATAATGAAAATTTAATACATTTATTATTATCTTAAGATATAGTGTTGATATATCAAAATTTTACAGCATTTATTTATTTAAAACCAGTTAAATTTATAGTCAAAGAATGTCAACATAGTTTGACCAAAAACAGTAAAGTGTAACGTTTGGCAAATGGAGTAGGACTTAAAACTATTTTTATACTCCCTTCGTTCCACAAAATCCTTCCTCTTTCATTTTTGAATTCCCTAAAATACTTTTACTTTCTATTAAAAAACCACTTTTACCCTTACTTTTTCATACATTACCTATCACATTATACTTTTTACTAATAACAAAACTATCACATCTTACTTTTATCCATCACATCAGGAGCAAAATTGGAAAGTCAACCAAAATTCCACTTTACTTATTTTTCAAAAGTCATAAGTGGAAGAGTTTAAAGGAACGAAGAGAGTATAGAAGTAGTGATTATAATGTTAACTATAGTAGTAAATCTGGTGTAATAATGTGTGGATCGATGACGTTGTCAATGTCTACTCGATCATATATATATTTAGGCTTAAAAAAGAAGGATGAAATCATTTTTTTGGAACAATATTAATATACCAATTCAATATTTTATAATGTGTTTTTAGTCCTATTTATAAACGTACATATACCTCATTGCTGTGACCGCATTTCTTCTTCCTGCAGTTTGTCGATTTCAGAGGAAGACGAGCGTAACACCTGCATGCTCCGATCGACCCCAAGATATTAAAAATAAGAAAAACGAAATATATATATATATATATATATATATATATATATATATATATATATATATATATATATATATATATATATATATATATATATATACAATACACATATTTATTAAGATTGTGAAGAAAAAAATTAATCTGTAACAAATTAAGAAGAGTTAATTATTACTTGCGACAAATTAACTTGCGCTGATTGTATTTCTCAGCCAATGCTCTAAGAGTAGGTTCGATCGTGATCGTCCCACGCCCCCCTCCTCTAAGTCTCAGCATCAGATCCAGGCTTGATTCTGCAATTACACGTACAATTTAATATATATTCCTTCTTTATGTAAATCATTTTTTATAGTTTTTCACTTTTTTAACATAACATTTTTTTTATCAAAGGCCGGGGGAGACTCTAGCGGCCAATCTAACTCGTCAACGTATGAGTATTCGTATTCACTCTACGCACTTTGGTGACTTCAATCGATCATGTCTTCGGAAATGATATACTCCACCCCGGCCGGGATGGGGGTCCTCATGCTTGATCCAATTAATCTGCCCGTTGAGAGACTCCAATGCTGGCTAGGCGGTGGTCAGCCGCAAAGTTCTGTTCACGAAAGATGTTCATTGATCTCGATCCTAGCTAGCTTGTATACTTCTTTTTCCACTCCTTAACAACATCACTGATGTCGCGCGTAGGTCCACTAAGAGAATTATGTTCGGCCATCCACTTTATTACAACCATGCATGCCTCCATCTGTCTGAATCTCAAGCTCTCGAACGCCCTTTTTCCAAGCCCACTGAATGCCTGTAGCGATGGCCATCGCTTCAACCGTCACCGCTATGTTTGGACTAACCTTGGTTGAAAAACCACCTTTCCCCTCGCCTTTCTTATTTCGAAGAACCCCAATAACATTTTTTTAAGGAGGAAGTGTATGTACTCCCTCTATCCCACAAATTTTTTTTTATTTATATTTAAAAATACTTTTACCCTTACTAATTCTTATCATACCTATCACATCATACATATTCACTAATAATGTATCCATCAAATCATATTTGAACACATCATATCAAGGGGCAATTTGGGAAAGTCAATACAAAAATATCTCTTTTTTAAATCTCATAAAAAATGAAAACAAGAATTACTTTGTGAGACGATAGAAGTAAATATTGTGAACGTACATAATATATTAAGAAATGGAGTAGTAGTAATTAAATATATAATCAATCGCATGCAAGACCTTTGTGGATGTCGTAGTGAGCAAGGGTTGTTCCGTCTTCAAGCTGTTTTCCGGCAAAGATCAACCGCTGCTCCTCCGGCGGAATTCCTGTACGTATTTTAACAAACATGATATATTTACCCAAAACAATACGGAGTATATTTTTGCACGTAGAGATATATCTATAGAAAATGAACGATAATCTCATCATCAATATAACAGACTCTATAAAGTATACTACTCCCTCCATCCGTATGGAATAAGTGTTCCTCTTTGAACTTTGTGTAAAAACAAAGAAGTATTGAATTGTAGTTGACTTCCAATTTTGTCCTTGATGTGATAGGTAAAAGTAAGATGTGATGGATAGATTATTAGAGATAAAGTATGATGTGATAAGTAGGGTATGAAAAAGTAAGGGTAAAAGTGGTTTTTTAATAAAAAGTGGAAGTGTTTGTTGGAAGGGAAAAAAATGAAAGAGAAAGTGTTTTTGATAACGGAGGGAGTATTTATTTCTATTAAAAAATCACTTTTATCCCTTACTTTTTCATACCTAACCTATCACATCATACATTTTTACTACTCCCTCCGTCCTAAAACTTTCTTCCCAGAGCACTATTCCAACTTCACAGGAATTTATATTTATTTGTGTTTTTTCATGGCCTATATGATAAAATAAAATATTCTTGTCACCACTTGTTTTGTTGAACTTTTGATGTAGTTTTTAAATATATATGTTTTATTTTTTATTTATATACCAATATTTAAATAAAATAGATTGAAAAAACTTGGGATTTTTTTTTCGTTTTGCGCAACGGGAAGAAAGTTTAAGGACAGAGGGAATAATAATCTATCCATCGAATTTTACTTTTACCCATCACATCAGAGGACATTTTCGAAAAAATCAATATCAAAATACACTCCTCTTAAATCTTTTCAAAATCAAAATTAAACATCTCAGGACCAGAGGGAGTATATATGTATTCACTCCGTCTCACTGTCTTTGTCCAATTATCTTTTGGCACACTATCCAATGCAGTTTTTTAGTCCACTTTATCTTGTAATTTGTATATTAAAAAATTATAAAAATTATACTTCCCCCGTCCCCAATTTGATTACAATTTTTTTTCTCTCTCCTCTCGATAACTTTTGTTTGTTTACGCGATTTCATCAAGTATTTGATAAAATAAAATATTCTTGTCACCTTTTATTTTGTAGAACTTTTGACGTAGTTTTTTAATATGTAATTTTTATAACTTATTGATATACCAATTTGTAAATAAAATGATTTCAAAAAGTAGGAAATTTTACTCCGTAACCCGCAATTTGTAATCAAATTGGGGACGAAGGGAGTATATTAATAATCTATATGTTAAGACAAATCAAACAAAATCACACATGACTATATTTAGGCTTACACATTGAGAGAATTTGATGAGTCAAAGTGCTTAGATGAACAGTTTCAAAAGTCAAAAGTGAACAAAGAGAGTGGGACGAAGATTGTATAAAAGAGCATACTTTCTTTGAGATGGATCTTGGACATGACGTCATCAATGGAGTCCAAGTGGCTCTCCAGATCGACAGTGATCGTCTTCCCCGTCAACGTCTTCACGAAGATCTGCATCTTCTCAATCAATTTCTTCTTCTTCTTTCCCTTTTGTTAATAATGAAAGAGCCCTTTTTCTCTCATTGCCTTCTCGCCGATCCAGTCTTATATATAGGCCCGATACTGGTAGT